TACCTGAGTGGGTGAGGTCGAGGGAGGCGGGTGGCCGCGCAAGGGAACAGCGTGTTCCTGCTGAGGTGAAGCCAGAGTCTGTGACGAGACGGCTGGACAGACGCATCACTCCGTGTGCTGGCTGCTGTTAATGCGGGCTAAGCCCAACACAACAGGTTACACATCGGCCGAATCAACCAACACACAGCAGCGTACACATCACCGAATCACCAACACACACAGCGTTTACACATCACCCGAACACAACACACAGCAGGTACACATCCACTGAATCACGGAAACAACAGGTTACGCATCCCGAGGATCAGCCCAACACACACGGTTACACATCACCGAATCATCAACACACACAGGTTACAACTCACTGAATCACCAACACACACACGTCACACATCACTGAATCATCAACGCACACAGGTTACACATCGCACGAATCAACAACACACAGCAGGTTAACATCACCGATCACCCAAACACACACGGTTTACAGCATCACCGAAATCACCACACACGCAGGTTACACATCATGAGTCGACAACACACACAGGTTACACATCGCCGAATACCAACCACACCACAGGTACCCATCGCCGAATCACACAAACACGCAACAGAGGCAGGGGTTAACATCGCTGAAATCACGCAACACACACAGGTTTACACACCCGAATCACCACACACACAGGTCTACACATCACTGAATCACCACACCAACGTCACGACATGCACTGAATCATCAACGCAGTCACAGGTTACACATCGCCGATCACCGAACACACACAGGTTACCATCGCCGAATCACCAACACACGCAGGTTTACACATCACCGAATCACCAACCGCACAGCAGGTCACATCAACTGAATCTCAACACACACAGGGTCAGCACATCACTTGAATCACCTAACGCATCTACAGGTTACACATCGCCGAATCACCACACCACAACAGGTTAACATCACCGAATCACCAACCACACTACAGGTCACACATTCACTGAAATCTCAACGGCACACAGGTTACACCATCGCCGAATTCACACACACACACAGGTTACACATCACTGAATCACCAACACACAACAGCGTTACACATCACTGAATGCACCAACACACACAGTTACACATCACCGATCACCACACAACACAGGGTTACACATCGCCGAATCACCAACACACCAGGTTACACATGCACTGAGTCACCAACCACACGCAGGTGAACATCGCCGATCACAACACCACAGGTCACACATCGCCGAATCACGCAACACACACAGGTTCACATCGCCGAATCACCAGCACGGCACACCAGGCTCATCAACATCACTGATATCTCAAACACACAGGTCACACATCACTGAATCACCAACGCATACAGGTTACACATCGCGAATCATCAACGCACACCAGGTTACACATCACTGAATCACCAACACAACACAGGTTACACGCTCACTGAATCACCGAAACCGCATACAGGTTACACACTCGCCGAATCCACCAAACACACACAGGTTACACATCACCGAATCCAACACACACGAGGTTACACATCGCCGAATCATCAAGCGCACACAGGCTTACACATCGCGGAATCACAAACACACACAGGTTACACATGCCGAATTCACCAACACACGCAGGTTACACATCACTGAACCACCAACATCACACAGGTTACACATCACTGAATACCAACACACGCCAGGTCACATCATCACTGAATCACCAACACACACAAGCGTTACACATCGCCGAATCACCAACCACCAGGTCACACATCCGCGGAATCACCAAACACACACAGGTCCACATCGCCGAATCACAACACACATCAGGTTAACACATCGCGAATCACCACACACGCAGGTTACCACATCACTGAACCACCAAACACACACAGGTTTACACATTCACTGAGATCACCAACTGCACACAGTTAACATCACTTGAATCACCAACACACACAGGTTACACATCACTGACATCACCAACACGCATGCGTGACAACGATCGCGAATCAACCAACACAGCAAACAGGTTACACATCGCCCGAAATCAACCAACACACACAGGTTACACATCACCGAATCACCAACACACGCAGGTGACACATCGCGACATCACCAACACACCACAGGTTACACGATCACCGAATCAACCAACACACACAGGTCACACATCACTGAATCATCAACACTACACAGGTTACACATCGCCGATTCACAACACAACACGGTTACACATCACTGAAATCACCAACACAACAACAGGTTACACATCACTGATCCCAACACACACAGGTTACACATCACTGAATCACCAACACACACAGGATTACACATCGACCAAATCACCAACACACTACAGGTTACAATCACCCCGATCCACCAACACACTTGATACTCAACACATGTATATATTTATACATGTCATACTTTATATATTATATATATGCAGATTATATTATTTATCTTATATTTACTATAATATAGTAGTATAACCTATATTATTATACAGCCATGTCTATATAACGATATATATACGCACGCACGGCACGCACGCATCGCACGCTACGCACGCGCGCCTGCCACGCACGCACGCACACACACACACACACACAACCACACACACACACACTTTCACAGGGCACTACCCCCGCATCATATAGTCCCCATATTCCTCACACAACGCTGAACTGGCCTGGGAGACGCTCCGGGTATCTGATGTGGTGGTCGCCGCTGACGTGCGACTTTGTTCGGCACTAGACGAGTGTTGAGACTGTGATGCTGCAATTGCCTAGACTTATGCGAGACCCTATTAGGAGCTCGGCGACTCGGAGGCTAGTCTGGCAACCGGGAAAAAACCTTGCCGTCAGGCCGTGCGACAGATAGTCTGCCTGTGTGTATGCCGTGCCTAACACCTACACCTAGTAATAGACTCTCAGTCTGCCTGCGAGGTAACACGCAAATAATGGACGAAAGTAATGCCCTAGCATACTGCGGCCAGACATACTCACGGCTTTAATTTGCACCGATTCCAATAGAAGAACATGAAATTGCCGCTACTATGCCGTAACCCTAACCCTAACCCTAACTCTACACTAAAAACGCTCAGCCGAAAGCGGCGATTGAACGCCACAGCCGAACTGCACGCGAAATCACGTCAACACGAGCAAATTAAAAACTCGGCTGAACGCGACGACTGAACACCGCAGCCAAGCCGCACGCCAGGGGCGACGCGACGCGGGTGTAAACAGAGAGCCGCGGGATGAACGCACCACGACGGGCCGGACGCTGTTCACGAACAGACAGAAGCGGTTGCGTTCCTCGATCATCGCCTGCCGCACGGCGTTCTTCTCCGTCTCCTCCAGTAGCAGATACTTGTCGCTGACGTTCTGCAGGTGACACTGCAGCTGCTTCTGCTTGTCCGTCGAACCTACACGCGAAACACGAGAGCGAACATTCTCAATGCCGGCTTTAAACACCGTGTCTGCTCGTACAAAAATGTTCATTAATTTTACCGCCGCCTTTTCTTGTCTTTTGAACCCATCAAAAGATAATACACACGCAAGAATATTTACCATCTTTAACTGCTGTTTCTGCTTGTCCATTAATACGATCCAAAAAACGTGCAGTCATAAAATATTCCCCATTATTGTGTTTGTTAGTGTTTATGTTTATTAGTGTTTGCATGACAGATGAACCCAACCGAAACAAAAGATACAAATATTTTGCATTTTTACAGAGCTGATCTATGCAGGGTGCAGAGATAGAGGGTTTCGTTGTATAGTCATTGTGTTATAGTTCTAAGTGTAGGTAACAAATATGACAAGGTGTGTGCATGTACAACTCTACTGCTTTACCACTTGTTCGATCGGGAGAGATATTACGTTTATCAGAACAAGGAAAGGAAAAACTTTCACCAGGTGATCAAAACTGTTCGTATTTATAAGCCACTGGTCACTGCATGCTACTATAGCTTCAGCTATTCGCAACCTGGTCTGTGCAGGTTGAATCATTAGGCTAATCGTTGATACATCAAAATAAGATTAAGCCTACAATAACAACACTAACAGGCACAGGCCCAGTCCAAATATATATATATATATATATATATATGACAAGAGGTATATTAATTATATTATATATATCTATTTTCATATTTTATATTTTTCCATCTTGTTACGTCTTGTTTCTTAGATGCCCTTACTCTACTCTGTGTACTTACCCTTTTTCACTTTCTTCTGTAACCGGACAGTGTCTGTACTCAGCTTCTTGATCTCATGCCGTGCTTTCTTGTATTCTGCAACACAGAGCACGAGCCCTTTGTGACGCATAATATTCACTAATCCTCTGCAACGAATTTGCCTTTCTTGCAAATTTTTAACACAACCATGCAGCTGCGCAACCACCCCACCCTGACCTGTCAATGAAACCTTTAAATCTTGAATGGTTTTAGTAGGAAAATGAAGTGGTATCAATGGAACCAACAATACAGTGGGTCTATAGAGCAAAGGGAAATACCACAGAAGAACGTTTACATTACGTTATCATTGATCTTATGAAAATTAATTTAATAATGTTCTGGCTATAAATATATGCCACTCCTAGGCCAATTCTATCGCCCTAAGCAGGCCATTTCCGGCGTTTAGCGACAATGCTAATTTGCACGCAATCCTGTCTTTCACGATACGTGGGACCGGTTTGTATAGCTGAGAAGGAATTCACAATCAATATTCTCCCCACATATAAACTGACACTGATGTATTAGCATCATTACAGTCCGTTATTCCCATCACTCGCCTCGTTGCTAAGCTCAGCCTCCCGTAACCAAGGACAGCTGCATCGGCAATGCTCAAATATCATTATGAATTTTATTACATTATACTGTTATATTAGTATTGTACTGTTTTATTATTAGTACAGTATTACATACTATTTATTTTATTATATTTCTGTAAATATAATTATATTATGAGTAACATTATAGGCGAACATTTTCTAGCATGCATGCTATCTAGCAGTATTGTGCATTTCTTATTCGGATCAAAACCACAGTTTCCCCATTATTTGAAGAATAAATCGCAGCAAGAGAAATATATATCACTCGTAATAGATGGGCAAGCATGATGGTGTTTGTTTTTCCACTTCTCTAACGCTAGATGCCATGTCCCGATATCAAACAGCCATGTGATATCATTCCCAATCGACGATTCCTTGTTGCTTAGCATCGATTAACGTCAAGCAAAAAAAAAAATGTTGCGTACAACATGTTTTCTTTAAAAAACAAAAATTGTTCTTCAAGTAGAATTTACCAGGAGACTAAATCATCAACCGCAATGGGTTTACGCTTGCGACCATCATTAGATAGCAGTCTAGAGTGTGGTGAATAAAAGAAAGAAACATATATACTCTCGTTCACACCTCTCTCTCTTTACAACTTATCCTAATCAGTGTTGCAATCTCTACCACTCTTCCCTTTCCTTCTTTATCAGCTTTCCTCTTTACAATTACTACTCACTCCCAACCCTCGCCCTCTCCCCGCCAGCATCCCTCCGCGCGCGCGCACCGTACCTTTAGCATGATCCTTATCGAGCTGGGCGGCCATCTTCTTCCAGTCTTCCATCCTGTCCTGCAGGGGTCCCACCAGATTCTCGACGACGGCCGTCGTGAACTGCCTCATCTTGGCCTCAATGCTGCGCTGCCGCATGCAGAGACGCGTCAGCGCGGTGCCGATGTCCCTCGTCGCTCCTGCGAACGCAGATAAGAAGAACGTCAAGCACGAAATCTGGCAAGCGCAGGATGATGCCAGTGATGCATCGTGAGAAGAGTTGTACTCGGCAACGAACTAATGAATCCATGCAGGCTAGCCGTAAGAGAAGCCATTCATTCCCCAGAGTAAGGGGTGATGCGATCTAGCATGAAACTGCAATTGAACGGGTATTTGGTTAGTGGCAACGGACAATTCCTTGCGCATATCTCTGATGGAGGGAGACTCTCATTCTTTGTAATCTTGCGCACAAAAGCAGTTCCCGTACACGCACACATACTTTAATTATTAACGGAGCTCTGTATGGGAGTGGTGCTTGCTGGGAAAGGAGTAGGCAGTTAAGGGAATAGGGAGCCGGAATACAAAGATGACAAATAAGGAGGGGGAAGTCGGGAAACTCACTGATGTATATGTAAAAACGACCTGTTCTTATGCAATATTTGATATATTATATCATTATATATTATATCATTATGTATTTATCCAATTTCCAATACGCGGGTTATACATTCAATATCCACACGGCTGTCTTTATCGCTAAGAAAGCTGGCAGATGCTTCTAAGAAAGCTGGCTCCCACGCCGCACTCTTGCACTTGTTGTTCGGGTTATGCAAGATTGCTTAACTGGGCTCTCTCTCTCTCTCTGTACAGCTTGGTATTCACACAGATTCCTCCCTGACAATCACATGAGTACAGGGTACACTAGCTGCAGAGTACAGAGAGTGGGTGGGAACAAAACCCCGTGCTGGATATTGCTACATATGTATGCCCCTGTACCTGTAGCCTACGGTAAGGACATGTCGCTATGGTTACCAGCATTTAGTCAGTAGATTACCTATCAACAAAGGAAATTAGAACGGTTTGCGGAGATAACCGAGAGAATGTGTGCGTGCTTGCGTGCATACGTGCGTGCGTACCTCAGTAAGTTCGTGAGTGCGTGAGCAGCTGTGTGTGCCGCGCACAAGCGTGTGTATATTACAATACATGATGCAACTACAGTGTGAAGCCACGGACGCTGCGTGACGCCAGGGTTTGTCATATCGTGGCTTCTTTATCAAACGTAACTGATTTTTTTTTGCTAGCAACAACATTGTAAAGGTATAGGCTGCTAAGTATTACAGACACAAGGGAGAGTGGGAGGGTGGGGGGGGGGAGGAACTGAGTTCTCAGGCAACATAGATGTGACCTACATCTGTTCAAATCCACATAAAAGGGAAAGGATGAAAGCGTTTAGCTGCAGTTATGTGCACAACTCTAAGATCTCTCTATTCCATTCACGTGAGCGCAGCCAGCTGCAGTGAGCGGTGAAATGAATAGCAAGCGCGAGCCGGTATCTCAGGAATACATACAGCACATACGTGCACTCACTGCTCACTGCTGCAGACACACGAGTCTTTCTCACACGTGCATAGCTGAAGTGCCGCATCACACGTATAATTAGGCTGACAGCTCTCACTCTAACCCTCTCCCCTTTCTCGCATCCTCCTCCCTCCCTCCCTCCGCCCCTCTCTCGCTCTCCATTACCGCGCTTCCTCTCTCCTCCTCCCTAACTTCCTCCTTCCTTTCCTGTCCCCTAACCCTTCTTTACGACCCTCTCTCTTCCTTCCTCTCTTTCTCCCTTTTACTTCCTGCCTCTTAGTCACCTACCACTGTGCCCCCTCTCTCTTCTTCAACATTTAAATTATACTCCTTTCAAACTGCGCAGGTGAATTACAGAGAGGAAAGTCGCTAATACAGGGAGAGTTTACTCTAGGTTCTAGGGTTATTTTCAGCTAATTTAGGTTATAATTACGCTACATAAAAAGTTTCATGGTTCAATCACCATTAGAAATTTTTTTTTTAATGTTTTAAAACTAACGACTACAGTTTGATTACAGCGACAGTGGCGCCACTCAAAGCGCACGATCTGATAAGTTGCGCAAAACCACTTTCCAGCCAAGGGCTACAGACCGAGGGTGTTTCTTATTTATTAGAATCACCAACACACACAGGTTACACATCGCCGAATCACCAACACACACAAGTTACACATCGCCGAATCACCAACGCATACAGGTTACACATCACCAAATCACCAACGCACTCGTAACTCAACACATGTATATATTTATACATGTCATACTTTATATATTATATATATGCAGATATATTAGATTATACTATATATAGTAGTATAAACTATATTATATATACAGCATCTATATAGCGCATACATATACGCACGCACGCCCGCCTGCACACACGCATGCACACGCGCGCATGCATGCACGCATGCACGCATGCACGCACGCACACACACACACACACACACACACACTTCACAGGCACTACCCCCGATATATAGTCCCCATATTCCTACACGTGAACTGGCCTGGGAGAGACTCCGGTATCTGATGTGGTGGCTCGGCGAGTGCGACTTTGTCGAGCCACTAGAGGAGCTGTTGAGACTGCTGATGCTGCACATGCTAGACTTGCGAGACCCTATAGAGCTCGGCGAACTCGGAGGCGTCTGCAACGGGAAAAAAACCTTGCCGTCAGGCCGTGCGACAGATGTTGCCTGTGTATGCGTGCCTGACACCTACACCAGTAATAGACTCTCAGTCTGCCTGCGAGGTAACACGCAATAACGACGGAAGTAATGCTAGCAATACTGCGGCCAGACATACACACGGTTAATTTGCACGATTCCAAATAGGGAAGAACATGAAGTGCGCTACTTGCCGGCAGGGCATTATCACCATTGATTGAACACGAACAGCAAATTATATTACACTCACGGACGGAGGGAGTGATAGCTTTACTGCTACAGTTTACTCATAATTGTAAAAGGGAAGAAACAGATGAGAGAGTAATGACAATGAAGTCACAGCAAGGGACACTAAGATAGAAGAATGAAAAAGAGAAATAAGAGGGAAACTGAGAGAGGGGAATGGAGAATGAGATAGAAGGGAAACCGAGATAGAGGAATAGAGATGGACAGGGAAGGGAAACTGAAATGGAGGAATGTAGATGGAGATGTAAGGAAATCTGAGATAGGGGAATGGACATGGAGACTGAGATATATGGAGGTGGAGAGAGAGGAAGGTAGGAAGTGGAGGGAGAGAAGAAGGGCGGGATGGAGGGAGGAATAGAGATAGAGGAAGAAGGAATGGAGAGAGGCATAATAGAGAAGGATAAATAGCAGGGGAAATTGTAAATAGGAAGACAGGGAGGCACGAGGTGAACGGTGGGAGAAGAAATGTTAAGAAGACCAAAGAATTGTAATTTCTCTCTCTTTCTCTCTCCGTGCTCTCTCTCTCTCTCGCTCTCTCTCTCTCTCTCTCTCTCTCTCTCTCTCTCTCTCTGATTATACCTGAAACTAGATTCGTTTATAAAGATATTACATCCTTTTGCTTTAAATGAATAAATACAGAAACACCTCGTCTGTAGCCGCTTGGCTGGAAAGTGGTTTTGCGCAACATGCTTATCAGATCGTGCGCTTTGAGTGGCGCCGACTGTCGCTGTACATAAACTCTGGTAGTCGTTAGTTTTAAAACATTAAAAAAAAAATTTCTAATGGTGATTTTGAACCATGAAACTTTTAATGTAGGCGTGATTACTAACCTAAATTAGCTGAAATAACCCTAAGAACCTAGAGTAAAACTCTCCCTGTATTAGCGACTTTCCTCTCTGTAATTCACCTGCGCAGTTTGAAAGGAAGTATAATTTAAATGTTGAAGAAGAGAGAGGGGGCAGCAGTGGTAGGTGACTAAGAAGGCAGGAAGTAAAAGGGAGAAAGAGAGGAAGGAAGAGAGAGTGCAAGAAAGGGTTAGGGGACAGGAAAGGAAGAGGAAGTTAGGGAGGAGGAGAGAGGAAGCGCGGTAATGGAAGCAGCGAGCGGGAGGAGGGAGGGAGGAGGATGCGAGAAAGGGGAGAGGGTTAGAGTGAGAGCTGTCAGCCTAATTATACGTGTGATGCGGCATTCAGTATGC